TTAAAATAAAAGCAATAATTGTGGCTTGATATTGAGTAAGAACATGCTTTTATGAACCACACAGCTTCCGGTCTTCCTATAACACGTAATGTCGTGAGACTACCAATAGAAATACATTGCTTTTAAAATCGTGCTGTGCAACACGAAAAAAAGGGGAAAATCGTGTTGGTGAACACGAATCAATACATTAAAAATCGTGTTGGTGAACACGAAATGCCGTGAAACTGGGTTGAACTATATGTTTCTCTTCTCATGCCTCCAAGTTCTCCTAATAATGAGTTTAGATGTCATCAAGGTGCTGGCCAAATACAAAGTTTCACTGAATTAGATAAGAAGTGTTAGTGATAAATGTCTCTCTTTGTAGTTTTCTCTGCAAACATATTTTTAAAACTCTGTGCGAGGGGAAAATATTATAAAGGACTTTGAGGGACTTTCAGCAAAGAGCTATACTGCATGTTTTTGACTGCAAAGTTAACTTTTAGATATGAGATGCTCTTCTGAAAATAATACTTATATATTTAAAATACTGGGCTACTGAATTGCTTTATTTTCTCTTACTGCAGTACCCTTTACATAGGTTTGATTTAAAGGTCCCATGTCATGGCCATTTCTACTGATCATAATTCCATTGTTGAGGTATACTAAAATAGATTTATATTGTGCAATTTTTCCAAAATCACATGGGTTTCTCATACAGCATCTCTATATAGTATGTGTATTCACTCTCTGTCCTAAATGGCTTGTTGCAGCGCCTGCCCCCCCTCCCTATGAGCCCATGGCCGTCTGCGAGACAGCGAGACACAGCGAAACCCAGCTCGAAACCAGCCCGAACACACACCCACCCGTAGCCTGGATGGGAGTTTGTGTGTCTGCTCACACACAGACTCAGCCTCGCCGCGTCCCGCCGTCTCAGGGTGGAGAAATCGGCGGAGCTGCAGCTGAGAAAAGATTGTGTGTGTGTGTGTGTGTGTGAGTGAGGAAGTCCGCGGATTGGTCCATTTGGACCAATCCACGGACTTAACCTAACGGCTCCACGGACGTAACGTAACGGCTCCACGGATTGGTCCATTTGGGTATGGGCACGTCACTGTACCCAGGAAGAAAACAATGGAAAAAGAGAAATCTCCATCAAAGAGTGCTTTAGATTAAATAGAAAAACAAATTTACAAAAAATGAAACTGCATGCTGCAAATACAGTTCAGTCTCTATTTGTATTATTTATTATATTAAGGCATAAAGTTAGGCATTATTTGGGGCATGTTCACTTTGAGTGAACATGCTGTTAGTCGTTTGAGGTCTGCTCTGCTGCATCTCCTCCACTTTCAAAGCACAACCAATGAGATGACAGCTGTACTGGACAAAGCCAGAAGCAACCTAAACAAACAGGGGAGGTAACCATTGAAACAAAACTGACCTTACTTCTGCAATGCTCTGCGCCTTATCATATGAAGACAACTTTAGGCGGAACTAAAAAGTTGGTAACGGCTGGAGGCCAACACTTTGGGTGTAGTCACAGAGACTACATCCATTTTTTATACAGTCTACTGATTCCATCCACATGGTTGAATGAATATTTTGTAAGTCACTTTTGATAAAACTGTCAGTTTGCTAACATTCTTTAATGGGATGTTAAGAAAAACAACACGGTCCTGACTCAGACTGGCATATCTGAATCATTAAAGCTTAAAGGCTTCTATGAAGTGAAGTGTTTCATGACAGTGGACCGCAGGAGAAGAGAGCACTCCCACATGCACACGTTTTTTATTTGAATCAGAATAGGTCATGAACTGGAAGAATATAGAAATTGTATTTATTGGGATAAACCCCTTGAGATGCACCATCTCGTTTTCAAGGGGGTCCCGAGAACTGGAAGAATATACACTGTTAAGCTAGCAAAATCTTACTGCTAACATAACTATTTACTTCAAACTTGGTTTGCAATATCAGCAGTTCATGTTGAGTTATTTTATTTAGCTTTCTACAGGTGTTTCATTCATGACACATTCTGATCAATTATATCCAATTGATACCCTTCATTTGTTACAAGCCAAAACACTGACCTCAACAGAAGTTTCATTTAGCAAATGATGTAATTGACCAGCTGAAGGAAGTCTCTTTGAGCTAATAAACCAACACAGCTGGATTTAGTCTAGTGTGCAAACCCAGTTACGAGTGTGTAGATTGTGTTGTCTTATCAGGGAATTACAGTGCAGGTGAGATCTATCCTTAGCAGATTAAAGGAAAAAAGAATAGACAGCACAACAATTGCAGGTGACATGTCTTTTTTCTGTGGGGAGGCAGGTTGAAGAAAATGTCTCTGCTGTGCCAAACTGCAGTTTGACTGATGAATGAGTCCAATTAAGCAGCTGGATTTGGATGTGAGATGCTTTGCTCAAGGGCACATTGGTTGCTTGGCGACTGCAGACTGGTATGCATCACCTGACCCCTTCCCAACCCATTTCCTCTCAAGCATCAGTGATTTTGAACCCATGCACTGCTTCTCTGCTTCCTTTTCTAACGTTGAGGCTACCACCAACCCCCACAGTTGTTTCTACCGAGCTGTTAGCAATCAGACAGATCTA